AAAAGTTATTGAGGTACCCTTAAGGATTACAAAGTATGTTAAGAAAACTCTAATAGTGAGGTCGGTTGATAAAAAAAAAAAAAAAATCTGGTTTTATAAGTTAAATTTATGATTTAAGTCTATAAACTAATAATAAAAAATTAATTTTTTTAAATATATCAAGTTGATATAAGAACGTGTTATTAAAGCCAATTGAAAAATAATTAATTTCAAGTTAAGTAAAAATTAGTCTAAAAACACCTTAATAGTAAGTATATATGTAAAGAAAAAAATTTTTATACATAAATTTTATATATTATATTTATATAAAATCTTACTTATTTATCTTTTTATTTTTAATTGTTAACATTTAGTATGACTTTTAAAGTAAAAAATAATTATTTTTAATAAGTATAATAAATAAAATTTAACTATTAAAAATAAAAAAATAAATGATTAAAATTTTATATTAATATAATATGTAAAACTTATATATAAGTAAATCCTTACTATACATATGAATTAAGAGTAAATATAAACTTTTAAACATTAATATTTAATTGTCCTAAGAATGTTGTTTTTTTTTTTTATAATTGGTTGCACAATGAAAGGTAATTTTTTTCATCCCTTATCTCACCACATTCGTATACTATACAACTCAAATTTATTATCTCTTACTTCTAATAGAAAAAAATTATCATTAAATTATTTAAAAAAATTATCATTAAATTATTTAAATCGTTGAATTTTAAAAATGTTATATTAAATTTATTTTCTCTATTATTGTAGTGTGAATATAAGTAAGTTCTTTTTTTTTTTAATAAATTGTTAAGAGGCAGACAAAAAGCCCATTCATAAGAAAAAAAAAAAAAGAGAATGCACCTAAAGTTGGTAAGTTACCAATTGAAACGAAGGGCGAGGTGCGTGAACATAAACAAGTTAATATTACTTCTAACTGTTGAAAACGACACCATATATTCTAGCATGTGATGCAAGATAAGATGGAACCGCGTATTAAATTGATTTTGAACAAATGCAAACTCGCGTTTCTAGTTTATACTTTTATATACTTTATTAGTCAGCAATTTTACTTCTTCCAGGAAAACAGCTCGAAAATGACATTTTATTTTCAACAATTACAAGAGAAAATTCTCTTCTATCATTTTTTTTAACGAGAAAAATACCCATTTTTAAATAAAAAAAGACAAAAAGAATACGCATACATACTAATTTGCAAAATATCAGAATTTGTGTTTGATATACCTATGAACCAATGAAATTGTAATGAAAATTTTTTTTTCTGAATATAAAAATTTATTACAATAAAAAAAATTAAAGGAGAAAAAAATAAAAATGGGGTTGATTAAAGTTGGACATAGTCTTATTATCAAATAAATTATACATAATTAATGACCAAATCACCACGCCTAAAACGTAGATTTGAAGGTTCTAGTTGTAGTAATAGAGACTTGGAGGAAAGATACAAATATTGGTTGGGTATTTAGGTCAAAGTAGTGTGTAAATTTTTCTTGGGATCTAAATTCCCTGCCTAATACGACGTCTAGAAAATATACTTAAATGGGGGGAGGAATTTAATATAATTTAATTTAATGTAATTTCCGCCGTATGTTGACTGAGTCTCTCTGTGGAAAATCCAGCTCCTCCTGCCTCCCCCATTAATTTCAACCCAACATATGGGTCATACCCAACTGTACGTGAGAAAACATGAACACCTACTTTATTTGATGCACTCCTACCAGTCTCTCTCTCTCTCTTTTTTTTTTTAATGATAAAAAATATAATTAATAAATTAATATCTATTTAAATATTGTTCGAAGAGTCAATTTGATGATCATATATTGTACTTTATTTTGCGTCTCAGACAGAAAAATATGACTACTTTTTTAGAAGGACAATAATTAAAGATATTAATATATTAAAGGGATTAATATGTAAAAAATGTATTGAATTCAAGACATAAAATACAAATAACGAGCTATCGCAAATGATAACAAGTTGTCATTGAATCATGAATGCGAAAATATGACTACTTAATGATATAGGGGAGTGCACCTCTCTCTCTCTTGTTTTAATGAATTGCACAAAAAGGAGATGGGTTAATCACTTTTTTTTAATTATTAATTTATGTATAAATATAAATTTTATTTTTAATATTAATATTATGTGAAATAATTTAGTTAAATAATT